GGACATTGTGAATGAGAGACCACCTCTTACAAGATGGCGTGACGAGTGGAAAAGGGAAGCAGAAGAAAGCATGGCTAAAACAAATGTATAATAGTTGCATTCATGGGGTTCATCAGGCACATTTTGAAATTTCGTACTCGCGCCAAGTTATAGGACAAAGTTGAGTTTATGTACTAGATTATAAGCAAAAGTATACAACTCTGCAGGATTCCCTTGTCAAGACAACATGCATTTATTCGGTTTCCCTTCAGCAAAAATACACAAACCTTAGACGACGGTCCCAGACACCTGTTTGATCTTGCTAAGCTTAATGTCCCTCCACAGCCAGGTGCAGCCCCATCCAACCACGAGCAAGCATACACTTGTGATGAGCATATACCGCTGAGTCTGAGAATAGGCGGCAGAGATTCCATTTCTCATCTCAGATCCCACAGGGTATGAAGCTTGCTTCCTGACCTGTCCGTAAATCTCATCAATGGGAGACCCAGGGGGCAGGTTGTTGATCAGCTCGTCTCGGAAAGTTCCAGTCCAGATGGCCGACGATATGGTGCTGCCGACGGCAGACCCGATGCTGCAGAAGAGGTTGAGCATGGCCATGATGACAGCCACATGCTGATGGTCGGACGGCGCCATCATGGCCATCTCACCAGCGACAACCATGGGTCCTCCGGCAAACGCAACAAAAATCTGCGTCATGATCACGTATCCAATGTCCTCCGAGGCCTGCCGGAACTTGATCATGAGGCCGACCCCCAGGATAGTAAGAGGCAGCGCGTAATACGTAGAAACCCACTTGAACTTTCCGACCTTGTGGACAATGAGGCCAATAATGACAGATGCGAAGCAGGACCCAACACGGTAAATGTTGCTGATATACGTGGCCTTGGTGATGCCAGTATCCCAAACGACAAGAAGCATGGAGTAGAAGTAGCCTCTCCATATAGAGCCACTGGCGTAGATGAAGACGAAGCTCACGCCGGCGGAAAAGACGGTGCGGTCCAGCAGCAGCTCATAGGGGATGAAGCTGACGGGGGCGAGGAACTTCTCCCACAGGACAAAGGCGACGAGCAGGACGGCGCCAAAGACCAGCATGCAAATAATCAACGGAGAGCGCCACTGCTCCGCCTGATAGGACCAGATGCTAAAGGGCAGAAGAAAGAGCGCCATGCCACCCGCGAGCAACATGATTCCAGCCAAATCCACAGCAATAACGTAGTCCCACACGTCCCGGAGGGTAATCCAGCCAGTGCGTTTCTCAATGAGGCCGGCCTTGACGGCTTTTCTGTCGTTGTAGAGGAACAGGAACGACAGAGGCAAGATCACAACGGGGGTGATAATGGTCCAGATGCCAAACCCCCATCGCCATCCAGGACCCGCGAGCACACTTTCAGTGACCGGGCCGCCAACCCAGGTCGTGACGATGTACGGCGAGGTGGCAAAGGCAAGCATGAGCGGCCGGTTGAGAAGCGACGACGTATCGGCAATGAAGATGGTGACACAATACGAGACGCCCTGGGAACTGAACTCTCTGTTAGCAAATTCAACAACGCGTGTTAGCATACAAGTGCTTCCTCCACCTACCCAACAGCGTTGAAGACTTTGGCAGCAGCAAACGTTTCCACGTTATTGCAAGCCGCCATCATGATCAGGCCAATGACCCAGATGAAGACGGTCAGGGTCAGGCCCTGCGGTCGGCCCCAAGTATCCAGAATCTTGGCGAGGGGGATGTAGCTCAGGCCGCCGATGATGATGGCCACAATCTGAATCGCAGGAGTAATAGAGTGTTTGTTGAAGGCGCTGGTGACGAATGGATCCATGCTGAAGACGACCACTTCCTCAATGGACTTGACAAAGTAGAGAAACCAGATCCTGGCTGCCGTTAGCTTTCCCGTCTCCCTCCCGAGGACACTCGGTGCGTCTGGCACTTACATGACATAGGCGGTGATGAGGTGCGACTTGGACCAGATCTTGGTGGTGGCCTCGATGCGAGCGACGCCAGACTGTACCTTTCCCCTGTTGAGGCGGTTGCCAGTTGCGTCCGTGGACTCGGAGTCACAGACATTGCTTTCTGGCTTTTCAGGATTCGCCGAGACGGCCATCTCTGCCGGCTGCGCTTTGGAGACGAGTCCCATCTTGAGATGAATTCAGTCCTTTGGCAGGCTCTGGCCACCCTGTTTTCAGACTTGGGAAACTCTACTATGTGTACGGTACAGAATCGAGGGCAAAGGTAGGAGATGCAAGGGGCCCGGCGCAGCAGAAATCACTTTACTCTTTATAAAAACCCGAATGCCTCGTCCAACGTCATGTTCAGTGGGGATTCGGTAGACGGCATTGGATTGACCCTTGGCTCGCCTGCTGCCATCTCACCCACCACCGAAGTGACACCGTCTTTGCGACGTGAATGGAGCCCATTGCCCGTGTCTTGCTAGATATTGCAGGGTATACACAGACAAACCTGGCCCTAAGAAGTGGGTATCATCAAGGTCATGGCGACAGAAAATCAGGGTTGTAGATCCCGGCCATGATCCTCCCTTGGTTGCGAGCAAGTGGCCCACGTCGAATCAAGCGGTTATCTGATGATCTGATAAGATTTCAATTTTTTTTTTCTCCCGCAAATCCCCACTAGAGCTCATCCCCAGCGGCTCGGTCGAATAGGCCCAGGGCCCCTGTAGGATCCATCCACTGGGTGCATATCAGGGTGTGTCTGGATCTTTCGATATCGCTAGTTGCGTCGTGGTGGAGAGTAAAAAAAAGAGACATGGTCATGTCCAACAACCAACATGAGCGATTTTCTTTGGGTCACGCCCGCCTATTGAACCTGCATGAGGAAATTTCCGTCGGAACGCCTGCTTTGGCTGGAATGCGTCTTCTTTTGCGATGGCTGGATGCTTTTGATAGTCTGGTCATTCCTTGGCCAGAATATCGGGCAATAGGCTCCAAGGCGTCCAAAATTTCCTGACAGAGCAGGCAGTTCTTTCAGGACTTCCATATTACGGCTCAAAAACTTTAATGTATTCGTCACCGCCGCATGTGGCGCTGTCATGCGCGGTGGCCTAGCTTTTTTAATAGGTGTTTGGCACGCCGTCGGCGTTATGAGTTATACATGCAATGTCGGATGGCTAGACCAGCTGGCTGCTCATGAAATCTGACTATGCCGAGGCTCTGAGCATTGAGTTTGGGGTGATACGATCAAGGTCAAATGTAAAAACTCAACCATTGCCAAAGTTAATGGTTTGTTGATCGCCGCTAGTATCATAACATAGTGACTCGACATCTGGCGGTAAAAGAAGCACCGGCACCGCTTCATACAGAATCCACCGATTGCTGATACAGAGAATTCGTGTTTATTGTGCTTTCGATAGTAGTAAAACCGATATTCGTTGCTAGGTGTCAGCCGCCTATGAAGAATTTCAAGGACTCGACCATTTTTAGACCGTAGACTTCTTGCCCATGGTGGAATTTGCGACCACTACTACGTGTGCCGCCCAGTAATGTCGACGTCTTCAAGGCTTTATTAGCGTCCAGTGACTTGATCGTTCTGTTATTCAATCCTGACAAGATTGTCTTGCCGTCTAGCGAGAATGCTATGATCTTGACCGAGCCCGAGTGGCCTGCGAAGGTCAGGTACACTGACTGAATGTCCGATGATAAAGATGATACAAGCCTGAAGGTAAATCTTGAATGGTGCTCGATGCCTCGTTCGGGCTCACGCCTTGGGGCTCCTGGCTTACGAAGCTTAACTACAAGTACGTTTCCTCGGACGTTTCAGTAAGCTCAATTTCTGCCTTGCACCACGGCATTTCTCCATAGCTGCGGCGACTATCGGGCTCGTCCAGTTTGAATGTGATGCAAGCTTTCACAGTTTCAGAAATGTGCTCTAGGTTGAGCTCCAAGATGGCTAGCGATTAATCACTTTAGCAATGTAGCTTGAACTGTGCAATCCTCTAGAGTAATGTAAAAGGAAGATTTTACAGGCTCGTCCGATACGTCCGCGAGGTACATTTCCGCATCTTCAAGGAACTCGGAGACGAGAGGAATTTCGACGGCCGATTTCCCGCAATCCTTGGTGAGACCGGCTTCGTCCTCGACAGCTTCCCAGACTTGCATTGTAGCATCGATCATGGAGATTATGGAAGAGGTTGGCGCCGACGCCCAGCATGCTTAGGACATTGTTGGTGATGTGCATGAGAAATACGTACTGCAAGTTGGGGGAATTTCTCTGCGAGGTCGCGTCTAAATTTAGGGAGGTGTGTCTGAGCCAAGGGCCGCAAGTCGCGCTCCCTAGGGTTGGGGTTTCTAGGGTTAGTGACTTACCCTAACCCTAGACCAATGTGGTCAGCTTATCTGGTTTGCGCCAGTGAAAAGTTTGTCGGTAATGCAATTCGCAGCCGATAAAAAGAAGGGAGGAAGGAACGAAGCTGGCGTGAAACGCCGAGACCATTTCCGAATACTCCAAGTAAAAAATAAACCCTTCGTTCTGTCGGAGATTTAACAACATCAGCAAAAATGAAGGTATAATGGTGGATTCTAACCACCTAACATGGACGAACGGGGAATCGAACCCCGGACCACTCCCAGATCAGAATCCATCAGATGGAAACTTGCTAAGGGAGTATTATACCACTAAACCATCCGCCCAATGGATGTTGAAGAATCATGTCGGTATAATAATAGAAAAACTTTTCCGGCCGGTTGTGCGGTGGCTTTCGGCTTTCCCCCCGTTGTACGGCCCAGCCCCCCCAACTCTGCCGAATGTGGGGTCGCACACGTGATCATCACCCCACTATCCCGAACCAGAGCCGTAATCGGCAGGTCGCTTCCAAGGGTGCGTCTAACCGTCGTTGCTGGGCGCTCTTGTTCCGTTCGCACCAAAAGCTTGCAGGCCACCGCCGTGTTGATGCAGCGCTGCGGTTGCTGATCACTGGCGCTGTAGCCTGGACAGATAACAGACTGGAGGATTGTCGGATCGAGGTCCAAGCAATCTCAGACTTTTGCGCACCATGTCCGAGGACGACGTCGACATGCTCGGCCCCGACGGGCAGGGGTCGTCCAAAGTTGACCGTGACCGCCGTGCGCCGAGGTTCAGTTGGACGCCCGCATACGAGACGACTTTTTTTCGCAGTCTTTGCGAAAGCGTCCAGCTGGGCTTGCGCGAGAACAGCAGTTTCAAAGCGGAGGCGTGGGACCGCGCTGCTCTAGCCCTGCAGGACAGCCACGGCGCGTATCCTGCCAAGAGCCACCTGATCAACAAAAGCGACAATGCGCGGAAGCGGTTTCGACTATGGCGAGGGCTTCGCGAAGATCCCGAGTTTATGTACAATCCCGTCTCCAAGACGGTGACGGCTACTGAGGAGGCCTGGAGAGCGCACATAGAGGTTGGTCATCCTGAACGTCCGATGCGCCGAGATGCGCTGCCATGTCAAAATGCGGTCGAGTGCGGGCACTGACTGGTGATTAGAGAGAACCGCTGTCGAGGGCTCTGAGGGGTCGGCCGTTTGATCATGAAGAGTACATGGAGATACTGTACCCCGATGTTATCGGGTCTGGTGGTGCGCCAAAGAGGATAATGAAACCTCGTCGTAGGACAGATGGACAACCAGGCGACGAGTCAGATATGCCGGGGACGGGCGTTTTGAATCTTCAACCAGAGTCTGCATCTGGACAAAATACTCTTGAAAGCCCTGGTCCTGCTCGCTCATCTTTGAGCCAAACGCCAATTGGCTCCGCCACAGCATCAGGTACTCAGCTGAAGCCAAGCTCTACCACGATCCCTCCACGAACTACACCGACGCAGCCCTCCGCTCTCACTCCTCCGGATGAGTCGGCCAACCACGCAAAGAAACGGGTGATGCCCGCTCCTCAAACTGAAGGCGCGTTTGGTGCAACACCGCCGCCTTCTGCCGCCAAGTCGGGCAATGCTACGGCAGACGCCCCGTCGCCCGAGAAGAAACGAAGAACCTCTATACACGGTGACGCTGTGCCTGTTGTCACGTCGACTTCGAGCAACTGCCTTCACCATGAATCATCGTCCGACTCGCCTACTGCTGTGCAGCTCCCACCGCCAGTGACCCTGGCAACTCCTCAGACGACAGCCGCAGACTCGCAGCCAAACGGATTGCCAACATGTTTAAGCAGCTCGCGATGGTGCGAACTAGCTCTGGAGCAGTTCTTCAAGGATTTTGCAGGCGAGGACATGGACCTTCAAATACGAGTTGCGGAAACGGTTTTGGTTAATGAAAGCAGAGCACTGGTGTATTGCAAAATGCCCTGGTGCGTGAAACAACACTGGATAAAGAAACTTGATGAGACATTCCGGAAAGTGCGTTAATACTCCCGATTCAGGAGAGGGCTTCAGCGACAAAGCCCGTTTTCTGGATGCCGAATGCATGAGACACGGGTGATTTTGGTGGGATTGATACCCCTGGCAGGAGTGGCAGATAGGAGCTTGTTTAGATAAGTGATACCCGTTGATGAGGCGTTAGGATTGGATTGATGGTTGAATTAAAGCAAGGGGTTCTTGGGGTGCATTTGTTTTTTGAAGTTGGGGGGAGAGCTTTGTTTGCATTTTATTCTCAGGGGTCAGGCAGCTCAGTTGGGCGAACGATAATTCGGTTATTGCAGTCGGTGTTCCTTTGGTAGGAGAGCCACTGGTATACCAGATTTACGTGCTGTTCTCCAAGCCGGTGACCTGGTCGTCATCCATTTGGCTGCGTAATGATGTTATGTCAGACATGGTGTAATGGACCTTTTCGCATCTTCAAAGGCAGTTTAGGGTAATGTAGGGAAGTAACGAACAATGTTGTACTTACTCACACATGGCCATTTATTACCTTGTCCTTGTGGGTATCCATTAATTGAACATGTTCTTAATATCATCTCGCGCACAGGGTCGGCGAAATTTCTCTCAAGAGGGTTACGAGTTGAGTGGTTAATGGCCGGTTCTGGGCGGTCCGATCTGATCTCGATTCTCACAATAGAAACGGGCTGCAAAGTGGAGCATACCCTCTCTCATGAAAGCAAGGGAAGCAAGAGACGCGGGTAATCCACAGGAGTTCTAGAGGCTGCTCATGAAAATTGAGTAAGAAAATATGCACCCTTATCCATCTCGGGTCTTTTAAATGACGAGTGAAAGTGGAAGCGTGGAATGTCATCGTAAAGTAAGCTGGACCGTTTCCTCGACCCCCTCCGACCTGCTAGCAACCGTTGACGCTGCAAGTGGGTCAGGCTGGTGGTGCCATGAAAGTACGTCATACATCGGCACAGAGACGTCAACAGGGCACCGCAGGTTTCAAAGCTCCTGGCCTGGCTTGGCCTGGCCTGCATCACATGAAGCCATTGATCTGCCCACCACCCTCTCTTCTCATCTTTCGTCTCCCTTCTGGCCACTCTCTGACAACCACCATCTCGATCAATCGCTCTACAAATCCCATCTTACGTCCCTCCTACACATACACAAACAGTGAGTTGCTACTCATGCACATGCACATGCACGTGCAGTCAATCCCAAAGTAATACAAGCTAAACCGGTCATCCTCAGTGTCTTACGCCGACGTAGCCGCCAGTGGCCCCAAGCAGTCCCCCGAGGACGTAAGTAACGCAGTCACAACCCCTCTGCCCCATGCTTTACCATGAACCACGCGCCAAATCATCTCAACGACTGCCTAACACCTCACGATAACCACAGGCTGCCGCCCCCCGACCCGCCGAGGTCGTCACCACCGAGTCCGCCTCCACAGCCTCCCTCATCGACGTCGACGTCCCTAGCGTGCGCACCGTGCCCTCCGACTTCCTCGAGCAGGACGTCCAGACGGAAACCCAGGCCGGGCGGCTGGAGCGCGACGTCGAAGCGGCCAAGGCCAAGGCCGAGCAGGCCAAGAAGAAGGCGGGAAAAAAGGCACGCGACGCCGACTCGTGGCTCGTCAGGCAGTTTTCGAGCCTGTCCGACGGCAGCGCCGGAGCCCTGGTCATCACGAATGTCGCTGCTGTCATTGGCGTGAGCTCCTACCTGGGTTATCGCGCCTGGGGCCTCTACGAGAAGGGCAACCTGACCTGGAAGAATGCCGGTGTCGGGGTTGGAATCCTGGCCGGTGTGGGTGCCGTTGAGGCTGTTTTTGGGCGGTACTTGTACAAGGGCAAGAAAAATGGCTCGTCCTGATTTTGGCGGTGGTGTTTGGTCATGATACCAGGTTACACATTTTTTTTTTTCGTGTGGTTTCTTGGCGTTGGTTCTTGACGGTCAATGAGTCCTACTGCTAGTCTCTGCTCTAGTTTCCACTCCAATCAGTAATGCTATGTAAAACCAGCACCGTGGTGCGTTGTAATTGCGTGGCTACGGATGTACACCTTGCTTTGGCCTACCAGCTCCGTGACGAGAATCAAGTGTCGGGAATGAGTGGCCCTGCGGTGACCGTGTTGCGGACAACCATGAAATTTCGCATGGAGTGTAGATAGATATATGAACCGTCTATATTTCCATGGCCCGTAGTATGTATCTCTTTCATCTCGTACATTTTTATAATACAGACATGCAGTCATGTCAAATGGTACATATTATGCCTTCCACAGTTGTAAACGCCTAGTTGTCCCATGCCTTTGCTTTACAAGTGATCTGGGAGCAGCTTTAATCTTTCTTTTCTTCGTTCTTCTTCTCCTTCTCCTCCTCAGCCAACACGCCGGGCTGTTCAAGTTTGGCGTCCTCCTTGTCTGCGTCGGTGGCGTCTTCCCATTTCTTGGGGACACCGTTATTCTCTAATGGCTTGACGCCAGGTAGATTGTCTGTCTCGGGTCTGTTGTCCTTGGAGGCAATTGCAGCAGGACTCTCTTGTGGCTCGCCGCGTGGGGCCTGCTGTAGGTCATCGGCAGCCTCTTCGCCATCGTCGGACAGCTCGGCGCCGTAAATATCAGGGTACTTCTTGAAGCAGTCCTGCATTCCCCTATAGGTGAAGAAATTAGTACCCACTCATTACTTGAACCATCAACACCTCTGAAAACCACGTACTGGAATTTCTCGATACAGTCCATGCCCTTGGGCTCTTCGGTTGAGTAGACGAAGCAGCTGAAAGCGGTCTTGAATTCCTCACCACAGGGGCCGTGTGCCATTCCCCCGAGGCATGGGCAGTCCCAGTTGATTTCGCCTGTTTCAGGGTTGAATGCGCCTTCTTGGCCAGCCTCTTCCTCGAGAGCTTCGGGCGATCCGGCGGCAACGACGGTGTTTTGTGATTCGGTCTTAGGCTGCGTCTCCGGGGTCGAATTCTGCTTTTCAATTGGCTTTGCCTGCTCCTCAGGTGTGGGCTTGAGTTGCTTGCGCTTCTGTTCAATAACGGAATCGACGGTTGGCACATCCGACTCGGTAAAGGCAGAAGGGGCTGCTATTGATTGGACTAGACACAAAGAATTAGACCCGAGTGTAATGCGCGGTATTGGCTGCTTGGACATACCGGTAGCTTCATCGGCAAAGACGGAACCGGTGTTGTAATAGTACACAGCGCCGAGCGCAAGACCCCATCTCACGGCCGAGCCCTTCCACGTTCGCGGCTTGTACGCAGGGGTCGATGTTGATGCAAATCGACGGGGAGCGCTCTGAAACGGCTGGGAGCGAAGGCTCCTCAAGGCCTGTCGTGAGGCAGTCCGCACTGTAGCCCGATACATGCTGTCGAATGCTGCGACAAAGTTGAAAAGCGTCGAAGAAAACTGACGACAGGACTGGAATCGAGCATCAAAAAAACATCGTCAGCGCTGGCTCGATTGGTCAGCGCTCCGTCTTCCGTCTATCCGTGGAGCCCAGGCGCCAAGGCAGAACGGCAAACACTGAGTGGCCTAAACGCCAGTGTTTGCGGCCAAGTCCCCTGCGCAAGACACCACAGTTGGAGCTGGCCGGTGTTTAACCGAGAGACTGTTGAAAGCCGAAGTCACTCACTCAGCACTGAGGGTACATGGATCTCAGAACGTGCAGCTGCCACATGTGTGTGACGCTGCAAGATTTCCTAGGGTGCCCTTGTACGTCAAGCGGCGATTGTCACCTTTTGGTGTCCAGAGACAGACCGTTGCGTGGTTTTGGGAGTTCGAAGGTGACATTCACATCTCGCCGCTGGAGGAGTGTCTGCACCTAAAACGGCAATTCAGTTCACGCAGCTCCACCTCCGTAACCTAATCTGGGGAGACGTACATCAACCACGCATCACGCACCTGACTTTGGCCAGCTGCCGGCCACAATCGCCACTGCCTGCAGAACCATTGAATTTTGATTCATCTCGAAGAACTAGCGGGCCCCTTGTTCGCATATCCAAGGCAGCCTCCTGTGGTACCAAGCTTGGTGTTGAAGCTCGAAATGTCTACCGCCCAGTTCGAGTGGCACCCCGCCAAGCTCCTCGAAGATAACGCCGGTCTCCAGGATTTTGCGCTGCTGGTCCTCAACCAGCCTCTGAAGAATGGAGCTATTCTACGCAGACTCTGGAAGAACTGTATGTGCTAGTGATATTCGACCTGTTAGTTGCGATTCGCTTTGACGGGGAGTTTCGTCCATCTCACTAATCGGAATGTCAAAGCATCTGTTAGAGTCGCTGCCGATGGCGGTGCCAACCGGCTCCATCAACTTTCCTCCTTTCAAGGGAAATTTGTATGTAAATTCATAGCTCTACGACGGACAAGAGCCTATTGTGATTCTAACTACCTCCCCAGTCAAATCTGCAAGCCATCATTGGGGACCTCGACTCCCTCTGCTCCTCAGTGAGAGACTTCTACTCCTCACAACCGACCCCGGCGCAGGTCATCCATGACACCGACCAGGAGTCGTCTGATTTTGGAAAGGCCATCACATGGATTCGGAAAACCCAGCCAAGTGCTCTTGACATCGTCGCACTTGGTGGTATTGGCGGCCGTGTTGACCAGGGCCTCAGCCAGCTCCACCATCTGTACCTGTACCAGACAGACCCTGCGTACGCTAATGGCCGGATATATCTCTTATCTGGGTCGAGTTTGACATTTTTACTGAAATCCGGGACGCACATGATTCATGTCAAGGAAGATGGCGAGGATGAGGTGTTTGGGAAGCACGTTGGGATTATCCCCTTGCAGGAGCCAAGTCGGGTTACCACCAAGGGGTTGGAGTGGGATGTAACTGACTGGGAGTCGAAAATAGGCGGAAAACTCAGCACCAGTAATCACGTACTGCCTCACACTAAGTGTGTCGAAGTTCATACCACGAAGGATGTACTGTTCACTGTTGCACTGCGCCCAGTCGAGGGAGAAGAGGAGGCGTGAAAGGCTGGAGAATTCAAATGTAGGAGGAAAAAGGAAAAAAAAAAAGGAAAAGAAGAGAAAGGTTGACAAAAAATATAAGCAGCAAAAAAAGACAAAATCGAGTCCCAAAGCAAGACTTTAATTGTTCGCCAACCCAATGACCCCAAGACGCCATGCTTATGTTCCCTGTCGGATACCACGTGCTGCTGCGCATTCCATCACCGTAGGTAGTGCAATACTAGCCAGCAGAATGCGAAGAAAACGACGACCCCGCCCAAGAATAGCCATTTATCTTCCCGCGCTCGTTTCTCTACCATGCGAATGGTATCTCCGCTGATGCCCAAGGTGGTCCCAACACTGTATAGCCTCTTCTGCGTATTCTTGAGCCTCTCCCTCTGCTCACCGAGATTGCCGAGTACAGCCTGACCTCTCGCAATGTAATCATCTAGGGCAGAGTGCGTCTGCTGGAAGAAGGCTTGCTCCCGGAAAGCATGTGCCTCGCGGGCCTCGTCTCCAGATCCCGTCGTTAAGGGCGCGCCTGCCGTCGACGTATGTCGAGGGTGAAAGGAAGAGTTCGTGTTTGTTGGTGTGCCTGCGTATGGGTTCTCAGGGGTGGCATTGTAAGGCCGTCTTCCTAGTAGCTCTCTTCCGTTGTTCTGGTATTGGGCCTCGTCTCTGGATTTCTTCAGTCCGTCAATTTGGGACCGGAAGTCGGAAAGATCCTCTCGAAATCGTTTGACGCGCTCGAAAGCTTCTTCTTGTTTCTTGGGAACGATTTCTTGGCGTGCAAGGCGGTGATATTCGTCGATAGTCTTCGTGAATGATGACACCGACGCCGATACATTGCCAATCTCACCTGGAGTGGGAGACCCTTTGGCATTCAGCGTGTCGAGCTCGCTGCGGATCGATTTACTCTGCCTCAAGGCAGAGTTGTACTGCACGTTCTGTGAAAATTCGGAGTCAGAGGCATCACAATACGATCCAGGGCGAATATTGCATACCATGATTCAACAATTGCTATATTGTTATGCAATGGCCAGCTTGCCCTTCGCAGCTTACCTTGCATCTTCACGTGGAAACCGTGTTGCTTATGCGTGGAAGTACTACTACAACTGTGTTCAGAGTCCCGGATCGGAACATCTACGGCCCGTCTGGGGTAACCACTAGGACAGCCGTCTGTTGGCCCACGTATGGAGAATCTGGTCGAGAGATTATGCCCAAAAACATTTGGGCACTTGATTTTATCCTTGACTGTCTCAGTATGAAAGAGGATGTCATTGCACGCTACACCATACAACGACATGGTGAAGCCGTGAAGCTCATCCATTCGTCCACGACGTCAATTTGGCAGGTTATTGAAGAATGGGATGGGGACCCTAGTCAATCGGCAGCCACAACGGCGGATGCCGAAGCAAAGCCCGCCACCTCATAGAAGGTTGGTCATGAGCGCCGATCTTGGACACTAAAATCATATTGCAAACGAATATTAATTCATAGTGAGGTAGTAATGCCGATTGAGAGGGGCTTGCAGGGCAAAATAAACAAATTTGCCGAGATCGGCACCGATACGGCCCCGAAGGCCCATTGCGCCGTTCCGTCAACGGCGTTGGCCCGGTTTGTCACACGGAAAACTACCGAGATTGATGTTATTTCCGTAAATTGAGGCAAAATTTTGGCGGGCCTTGCTTAAATGAATTCGTCTCATTCAGCAACTGGGATGACGGCAAACATGTTTTTTGACCTTGTGCGAGTTACAACATGGCCGACTCGAATACAAAAAGACAATCGACGCTCCGGCAGCAAGAAGCACGGCCTTTCTCGAATGGTAACACGAGTAGCGACATCGAAAACCAGCTTGCTGTCGCTCAAAAAAATGACGGGCCACCCTACTCAGTTTTCACTCCATGGCAAAAACGA